CAGACCTTACGAGGAGCAGCTGAGCRAGCCAGGGTTATTTAGCCTGGAGAAGAGGAAGCCCAGCCTCATCGCTCTCTACCGCTGCCTGAAAGGAGATTGTGGTGAGGTCGGTGTTGGTCTCTTCTCCAGAAGAACTATGGACAGAACAAGGGGAGATGGCCTCAAGTTGCACCAGGGAAGGCTCAGGTTGGATATTAGGAAGAATTTCTACACGGAAGAGTGGTGAAGCCTTGGAACAGGCAGCCCAGGGAAGAGGCAGAGTCACCAYCCCTGGCAGTGTTCAGGGAATATGTGGATGAAGAGCTTAGGGACGTGGCTGATCAGGCACAGTAGGGTTAATGGTTGGACTCGATGATCTCCAATGTCTTTTCCAACCATAATGATTCTAAGCACRAGACATCAGAAGTAAACACAGGCAGTTTATAAACTTGCATAGGAGAAAAAAATGAAAATGGAAGCACAGTATCAAACAAACCATAAGAACCATCAATTATGTGCCCCTATATTTAAATGATTTATTGCAGGCATAACCTCAGTACTTTCTTTGCTATAATTGGCTAGACATGTGTATCAAAACTTCAGAAAGTCTTTTCTTCTGACATCAACATATGGTTACTTAACAAGCTGCTACAGTAACAAAGCATGACAAGTTAATAAATATTTTCAAAGATTCTTTAAAAATCAAAAACAGAAGCAGGCTTTTCATTATGCAGCTGAACAGCAAGAAATACTTGTCATACAACCTAATCCTCTTGTTTATGGACAAATAAGTAATCAAATTTTGACTGACAGAAGTGACACACACAACCATACCCCAGAACACCCAGGCCCTGTGTGAACGCGGGGTTTGAGGGCTAAGGCAGCAGCGCTGCGTGCACAGYGCAGCTAAATCAGAGCCCGCTGGCCAGTGCGTGCGCAGCCACGGGCGTTCCCGCGGATTTGTACAAACCACCATGGCACGGGGCAAGGACAGCTGCTCCTGCAGGAAGCCTGGACAAAAGGGCAGTTAAATGGGTACAACAGACTGCGAGACAGGGTGACAGCCTCACGGGAGACATGAGCAGAGGGAAAAACAAAACAGCACTGTGCGATACCCGTGCTCTACCCCAACAGAGAAAAGAGGCAGGCGAACAACCTGCCTTCCTACCGCAGCCAGCGGGAGGCTCTTCCTCTGGCCTTACCAAGGCCGAAGCTGCAGCCAGGGTATTTTTCCAGGACAGTTTTGATAAACAGGCACAGGGCTCCYGGCACTGCTCCCTGAAACGCGGCGCTCCGCAGAGCGAGCATCGCCCTTCAGGCCCACACGGTCCCCAGCGCCCAGGGTKTGGGGCTGCSCRYGSGCAGCCCCACGCTGCCCACCCGCGTGCCCAGGCCGGCAAACCCCACCTTGCCCAGCACCAAGGCCCGCCCGAGTCTCCGCTAGCCAAGCGGCACACGGCAGCATTCAGCCCTTCAATGTCTTCACTTACATTATAAAAGGAATAGGGACAGTAGTAGCCACATCATTATTCAAGAGAACTGAATCCCAATTTATGTCATGGGGCAGCTAACAGAGCATGGTACAACAAGAAGCATACACTGAATCATGCCATTTTCTAGACATGTGAAGACAAAAATATAAATCCTGTTACCAGAAAAGCATGTTCAGTGTGTGTCCAAAAAGGAAAGTGACCTGACAACTTCATTTTCCTAAAATGTTTTCCCTCCTCAGCAAACTTAAACTACAGCAATGGTCTGGGTTGATAGAAATACGAACAAAATATACTGGGAAACCAGACTTGCTGGATGGGAACATTTTTGCAAAGCTTGCACTTTTAAGAACATYGCCAAGCCCTGCATGTGGGCACAAATTCAAACTCTACTTAAAAAAGTAAATAAGACTGAGAACATTTTTCTTCTTCGGGGTTAGTTAAAATGTTTTCTGGGGTATATTTACACAGTTATTGTATGGACACATGGCTTTTTCAAATAAGGAGCTTTCAATTAGCCTTATTTAAGTAATTTGTTGCTACATCAAATCCATAATTTGTTGTTTAGCTGCCTCCAATCGAGAAAAAGAAATATGAAACCATGCAATCTATTACTCGCATCAATCCTGCTGAACTACATTGCTACAGACAGAGTGCACTAGCAGCCAAAGAGGCCRGCAGGAGGGCAGCTGGGGAAGCGACGCGTGCCCCAAGGATTTGCTCTTTCCACTTCTCCAAAGGCCTCACCTACCAACTAGGATGTTTCAGAAATGCACCTTGAGGACCTCCCCAGGCTCTCACCACCAGCATTTCAGGGGGCTGTTCCCCGCAAAAAGGGATGGTCAACAACAGCCAAGCAAAAGGTGCTTGTGCAGAACTGCTTARAACAGGAACACTGCTAACAAGAGACCAAAGCCAAGCTGATGAGGACTAAGCAGCCTGGCTTCCCCGCTGGCTGCTCTCCTGCCCACAGACCATCCACACGCACAGCAAAAACGATCAGTTCTCCCAGTCTCACCCTCCAATGCCRCTTTACAGAAAAACACTCCACAGCATTGGACTCTGTGGAAGGACACACAAGACCCAAAGGGCTGGCTGGGAGAAAAGACAGACCATGCCCAGTTTGCGTTGCTTCCTCCAACGCAAGCGCTGCCACGGCCCCTCTCCGTCCTGCAGGCCCCTGGCAGCACCCGCCGCTTCCAGCGCTTTGGTTTCTACCAGCTTCACCTCAGTCCAAGCCAGAAGTTGGAGGGCAGGAGAGAACACACGTGAGGATACGCAGGCAGACACAAACACACAGACCTAGGCAAGCAGCAGCACATGTTGGGGGATGCGAAAGTACAACAGAGGAGCTAAAAACAAAGCATTAACAGGAAAAGACGACTTAAATACCTTCAAAAATTTTGCCACCAGTAAGTAAGGCCCAGCTTGCTACCTGAGATAACAGGCATGAAATTCTAGGCAATCTTCCATTCAAAACAACARGTTATTCAAAACAATAACTCAGGAGAGATGCCTGAGATACCCAAGTCCAGTCCCTTACTCCTGCAAGGCAGTTGCACACAGTCCTCTTAATAAATTTATGATCTTATTCATATTCCTTTTACTAGAAGACTGGTAGAGCTCCTTATTCTTGCAGACACTTCCTTGCAATTTCCAGATTAAATTTATTCATGGCCAATTTATATTCATTTGCTCTTGTGATGACATTGTCTTTTATCTTAAATTAGATTGTAAGTTCTCCAGGGCAATGACAAAACCTTCCTGTGCAAGTRTATCATCCCGAGCATAATGGCTCCCTGATCATAATTCAATACTTYGGTTACGATGACAATATCATAAATAATAAAAATTAGTTTTCACAGCTCCACTACTCAGAACTTCTTCCATCACATCTCTAATTAGCGCAAGTGCACTCGCAGGGAATTTTATCAAATATATTATGATGAAGTTAGATGCTTCTGCAGATCTGCCCTATCTCTAATAAGCTGCTTATCCTACTCTRCAACTGCATCTACACTACAAGCTGATATTGTTATCTTGATTGTGAAAAACTACAGGAAATACGACAAGTGGGTAGAAGAGCATGTCCCTTACCTTAAGCTTAAACATTTAACAAATTTGGCAGAAGAGTAATCACTAACATTCATGCAGAGGTTAGGAAAACCTCAATAAGGGGCTCTCTTTTGCACACTCAGAATTCRCATTAGTACAAATGGATTCCAAAAACGAAGTCTTAAACCCGGGTACTCTRTCAACAGCAGCAGTGCTCAGAAAGAGCTCGGTGTTCTTACCTGTGGTAACCTCAATAACTAGGCACCTGAGAGCTTGGCACACGTATTTCTCACCACACAATCATAATTCCATGTCTAGAAACAGTACAGAAAGCTAACACACCCTTCATAATTCTAGGTATATATTTCATGTATCTCTTGTTTTGAAACATTTGACTCCAGTGAGAAAATACATATTATTTACTCTGCAGTCTTATTTTCATGAAATTAGCACACTTGGTGCTGGGCATCAGGCACAACATGAAAATAAAATAAAATAAAATAAAATAAAATAAAATAAAATAAAATAAAATAAAATAAAATAAAATAAAATAAAATAAAATAAAATAAAATA